CCCCAAAACCCCAAAACCCCAAAACCCCAAAACCCCAAAAATGACTAGATCTATTGAAACAATTTATTAGGGTTAAGAATTCTATTTGGATCAAATATTTGCTTCATTTGGCCCATTGTTTTAATCATTTCATCGCTTTTGTTACGATGTAGCTCTGGGGATTTGAAGGAACCAATACCATGCTCTGCACTAATACTTCCTTCAAATTCTTCAACTAGGTCAAATACCCATGGTTCTAATTTTGTTTCTAATTTTTGGTAAAGCTCTAAGTCATCGTGGCCTTTGATTGAGGCTTGGACCTATTAAAATGATCTTAAACACGTACATGGATATTCCCATCACCTATATGTCCATACCCTCCTGTTCTCGCATGATTTCCAAGTCTATCGCTCATCCTCTCTACAAAAGCAGGGAATTTATCAATGGGGAGGGAGAAATCATACGTAAAGGCAAGGCCTTGAGAGACAAACCCTTCCACGATGCGCTCTCGGAGCTCCCATATAGAATTGAATTGGAACTTATCTTGTGCTATGACTCCATCCTGTACGTAATCGCTGACCTGCTCAAAGAATTTGAAGAACTTCTGTTCAATGGCTTTGGTATTAGTCTCTACATCAGAAGTATCGTCAAAATTAGATATCTCTATTAAGAGATAGTAATTATGAGCATATCCTAATGGATTAAAAATCTTTGTATTATCCTTCATGATTAGATTACACTCTTTGTCAAAGTACTCAATCGCTGTTAAGTTCTCAGATAGAAACTCCTTTGATGCGGTCAGTACTTCCTGCACGTGATCAAAGCTGTTGAGAGCAAATAGAGCAACATTACTTGCTGCAGAAATTTTTGGGCATAAAATTGCAGTTTCTGTTATTATTCCAAGAGTGCCCTCACTTCCAATGAATAAGTGCTTAAGATGATACCCAGTGTTGTCTTTTCTTAAGGCTCTCATGTCATCAAGGATTGTACCATCAGGAAGCACGACTTTGAGTCCAATAGTATTAGCGTGCAAGGAGTTATATTTCAGTAACTTTATCCCGCCTGCATTGGTGGCCAGGTTTCCTCCTATCTGACAGCTGCCTCTAGCTCCCAAATCTACAGGAGGCATATATCCAAATGGCTGCAAATAATCAATCAATCTCTGTAATACCACTCCTGCTTGTGTTTTAACGATACTAAAACTGCTGTCGAATCCAATAATTTGGTTCATTCTGTTAAGAGAGATAATAATTTCATCATTCAAAGGGACACTTCCTCCTACAAGGCCTACAGATTAATATATATTTTACCAGTATTCCCTCCTTGAGGAACGACAGGAAGATGTCTAGAGTTGCAGTACTTAAGTACCTGACTAACTTCCTCAGTCGAGGATGGTCTAAGGACCATCTGAGACTTCCCTCTCATCAGATTCCACCAATCAGAGTTATAGGATGCAATATCATCTTGGTCCTCAACGACTGATATCTCTGGCTTGCTCACTATAAATTAGGAAAGAAGTTTTACAAATAGATTTAAAGTGAGTGACATCATCCGAGTTCAGCTTGGAGTAACCTCATTGTGATAGTTTCAATAACCCATGCAATGCTGTAAGGTAATCGTACATACTTACTAGGTCTTCTAGATGAACTTTTCTGGAACCCAAGGATCTTATTATATCTTAGCATTTATATTTTGTCAATAAAAGGTATTAAATAGGGGTTTTGGGGTTTTGGGGTTTTGGGGTTTTGGGGTTTTGGGG